AAAACTCCCCAAAGACCCAAAACCCAAACCCGAAACCAATGTACTTTTGGTCTTATGCACATGGAGCAGGCGTGCACTGCATGTGGGCCTGGCTCAGCCCCTTTAGGTGTTTACACGGCTTAGGATTTAGGTTTTACGGTGTTTCACTGGGCACAAGCCGGACAAAGTGCTTTAGGAAAGGGTTTGGGGTTGTGGGGCTTATGGTATGTCTTGAGGGGATTTCTGGTTTTGCGCTGGTTGCTAGGAGGAGTGCAAGGTTCATATAGAGTTTCGCGGCTTCAGAGCCGCATGATTCCGCTGCTTCGCGTTTAGGGTCCTTGCGGAGTGCTACAGGGTTTAGGGTTTAGGGTTCAGCTGCTCCGGATCGAGCAGTTTTAAAGTACAGCTATATCTATGATTTCGAAATAACACCCACCCACCCATAGAATCCCATAACATTAGAAATATACAAGTTCTCATTATCATTCAGAAAGGTTTTACCTTCAAGTTTGTTTCTTACACCCTGGAAACATTCTGTAGCTAAACCCTAAATTTCCTATGGTGTCAACACCGTTGCTTGCTTATTTTAAGTAAAGCAAGTGAAAGATCTAAACCCTAAATTTCCTATGGTGTCAACACCGTTGCTTGCTTGTTTTAAGTAAAGCAAGTAAAAGATTGAAGTTGCTGCTGTCGCTAAACCCTAAATTTCCTATGGTGTCAACACCGTTGCTTGCTTGTTTTAAGTAAAGCAAGTAAAAGATTGAAGTTACTGCTGTCGCTAAATCCTAAAGGGATGGGGGGGGAGGGGGGGGGAGGGGGAAGGGGGGATAGGGGGGGGAGGGAGGGGAGGGGGGGGTAGGGGGGAGGTAGGGGTGGGGTGTGCGGGGGGGGTGGGGGTTGAGGTAGGGAGGGAGGTGGGGGATGGGGGGGGGGGGGAGGGGAGGGCCCTAGGATTTTCTTTTTTTTTGGAAAGGTGCAAAAAAAAAACTAGGACCCTAAACCCTAGGGGAGGCCCAAACCCTAGGCCCTAAACCCTAGGGCCCAAACCCTAGCCCTAAACCCTAGTGCCCAAACCCTAGGCCCTAAACCCTAGGCCCGATAGACCCGAAACCCTAGGCCCTAAACCCTAAAGCCTAAGCCCTAAACCCTAGGCCCTAAACCAGGAGTGACCTTAAACGACTAAGGGTTTGACCTTAAACGACTAAGGGTTTGACCTTAAACGACTAAGGGTTTGACCTTAAACGACTAAGGGTTTGACCTTAAGCGACTAAGGGTTTGACCTTAAACGACTAAGGGTTTGACCTTAAACGACTAAGGTATTAGGGTTTAAATTATCATATGAAAGAGAGGTTTACGGTTTAGGGTTTAGGGCTTGAGGTTCAATATTCAGCACTTTTGGCCTTGTACGATTTAAGGTTCCGAGGGATTCATGACGTCTCGCACTTAAGTTTAGGGCCATGTGGTCTATGCAAGGTTCAGGGTCTGCGGCTCCGGGGCTGTAGATCTAAGCTTACTTTTGGGTGCTCAAGGCGTTTAGGGTTTAGGGGTTCAGGGCTTGTGGCGTTTAGAGTTCACGATTCAAAACCCATTGGCCCAAACAAGTATATGCAAGTACGCTTTATTGTTGTATGGACTCAATGACAAGGTAGAGGTCTACTTAGTCGCCGCTACGATAGCCTCTCATTCCACGGAAGAATAACAAAGGACCCGACTGTGAACCCTCATGCTGTCGTGAGAGTCATGATACATGCCCTGAGCCATATAAAGGAGTCTTAGGAAACAGAGGAGTGTTAATATAGGCCCGAAATAGTAAGATCCGGACGGTGTTAGAAGTCAGTATAACACCCCTATCTCCTTCAATTTAAGAAATCCCAACGCTGCTTCGCAAAGGGGGCTGGGCTGGCCACGGGTCAGATCGCGCACAGGATGTTTGACTTGGCTTGGATGCTCGAACGGTTTGGGGAGTCTTTGCTTGGAGGATCATGGGAATTAGTAAGTAAGGTTATAAGTCCCCTAATTGGGGTTATAAGTAACTATAAGTATAGTTACCTTATTTATTACCCTAGTTACTAAGTCCCATGAGCCTTTAAGTGTTAGAGGTGCTGAGCTCCTTTATCCCTCGCCCGCGACTTAGTCAGACTAGGTTTGGGAGTTTAGGCCGCAGAGTTCTACAAGGCTCACACTGAAAGCTTGAGAAGTGGGCCCATGGGTTCAGGGCTTAGGTGGGTAGAAGCTTCGGAAGCCAGCCAATGGTCAATCCTGAGCCCTCTCCCGATAACTTGCGAATTCCTGCACGCTCATTTCGGCATGCACGACTAGGGTGGGCGGAAAGAAAGCCAGGTCTGCTATACAAAGCAGTAATATCCGCATGACGCCCGTGTCCTTGTGCAGGAGAGTTGGCGCATGGTCTTGAACATGTCATGCTTTACTCAGTCATGGAGGGCACTGGGGCATAGGGCATCGGGTCCCGGCATTTGGGGGCAGGGTTTTAGCATCCCAGACTTTGTGATTGGAGCTCCATACTGCAATGGGAGAGTCAGCGCTGACAGCCTATCAGAAAACGCGAAGATGAGGTTAACAAATGAGTCTAAGCGCCTCATTTAAACCCAGCCCTGCAACTCAGCACCGCTCGCTCGCTGCTGAGGTGTGGAAGTAGGGCTTGGTGCCTTGGGTTCTTGGGTGCGACCTTGCTTCGGACACCACCAGAGGTGAAACTTCCGTAGGGTCGGTCAGTCTCAGAATCACTGTTGCAACGCCCTTCTTGCTAAGAATGATGCACACACTGTCACTGATCTAGGGGCCCTAATAAATTGAATAGTGTGTTGAGGTAGCTTTAATCATGGCAGTAGTACAGGGGACACACGTTAGCAATTCCTACGACTCCTATACTAGGGTTGCAGATGAGACAAAGCAAGCCAAGCCTTTAGGTTTTCGGGTTGAGAGGTATGAGCCATCCCGCGACACCCCAAACTACGCTCTCTCGGAGAATCCACATAACCCCCCCAAGCCCCGAACCGTAAAACCCCTCTTGAAGCCTCATACCACTGTGGAACCTTTCGTAAAGCCTATAATCATCTCAAAACCACCCCCTGCAACCCTAAACCCAGGTAAAAGGGGGGGGCCTAAGATCTCCTTTGTACACCCAACCCTCGAACGTATCCATTCAGCCGGGGGCCACAACCAGGCGACATGTAACTCTACACCCGAGGTGCTAGCCCTGCTTCCTACTACTGACTACAACTGCAACTGCTCCTGCTCCTGCTACTACCACTACCACTACGACGACGACGACTACTACTACTGCTGCAAGCCCTGAAACCTTACACCTGAAAGCCTAAAGCGTAAAGAACTGAAGCCCCAACCTTGAGCCACCCTAAATCTAAGCAGAGCCAAAACCCAACTCCTACAACCCAAACCTCCCCCTACGCCCTCAAACACCCCGAATTGCCCGACCCTGTGGCATGACAGACGTCAGACGCTGCGCGATTGCGATGGACTGAGGTGGGGCTCTTGTCGCCCAGCCTCCAGTCAAGAAGTTCGCAGCGCGTGTTTTCCCCCTATACGCAAGAACGAGGCCCGCATTGCAGGGTAATTAAGTTCGAAGCGGGTGTAGGATCTAGGGATTGAAATTTCACGGGTTCGACTTCGGCTTTGGCAGGGTTTTAAGGCTTTTAGCTTGGATTTGGGGTTCAAGCACTCAACCTGACATGGCCTTTTTTGTATCGGTCCCATACTTCAGCACAGCATGAGACCAGAAAGCTGGAAAGTCGGACCACCTTTTGCAACTGGGTTCAGGGTTTCGGTAGGGGCCACTAAAGCCGCAACCCTATGGGTTGGTCTTCTTGAGTTCCTGGCTGCTGATGACATTCCCAAAGGGTCCTAGGGTCTCCCGATTAGGAATTACACTATGACTTAGGGAAGTACCCCCCATAACAGTACATATAGTAGAAGCCAAAAAGTTGGAACATCAGTAGCCTCATGCCCTTAAAGTAAAGTAATTAAAGGGAAACCCAGCATGAATCATCCTAAATCCATGTTCCAACTTTCTGGGGTTCACTATAGGAAGGACCCTTTGGGAGTGGGGGTCTCAGGATTCCGGATCCTGGGGCTCGGAACGTACGTAAGGGTCGATGGCTTTGGAGTTTTTTGGGCCCGGAAATGGAAATTTCAACCTGGTGATCACTTGAACCGTTGCTTTTGAGTTGCCGACAGCAAATCTGTACAAGGATTCCAACCCCCATTGCACACAATGCTTGTCAATCTGTCTTGTTTTGAGGTGGCATGGCAAGGTCAATGCCCACAATCGGTGCCGTCGCACAGATTCCGCAGTCACATTACCCAGACTGTACCATGGTACAACAGTATTGCCGGGACATTAAACGCTCACAACCTGAACCTGAAAACCACACACTAAATTAGTGACACTACACCCCAAAGCCCAAACACGAAAACCGCCGGAGCCGCAAACTTCAAAGGCCTCACCCTCATCTCGGCATCCCCACGACGAAGCTTTCCGAATCTCGCAGAGCCCAGCCAGGAAAAGCTGTTAAAACTCCTAAGCCACAAGCCTCAAAGTCCTATGTAGTCCTAGTCATGTCCGCATCCCGATATCTCTACAACCCCCTCTTCCTATCCGGCTCTCTGGGCCTGAGATCTTCACAAGCCCCTGAAAACCCGGCTCTGTCTCAGGCTCCTAAGAAAACTTACCATGATAGTTCGCAAAACACTGCAGAACGCATACATTGCGCGCTGAATCCGTAAAGCACCGCAAAAAATTTCATGAATCCGGCTGGAACCTCACAACATATCCCCTAAAGCTCCACCAGCATTAGCATCGTCCCAAAGCACCGGTATGGGCTTGCGGATGGAGGTCTTGAGGCTAAAAGCTTAGGGAATAGGGTTCACCTCAGCATGAAGGAGGGCGCGGCTAGTGTTAATGTCGTAGACGCATCCGAAGCTACCAGACGCAATAGTCCTAAACCCTAGCCCAAACCCTAAACCCCTAAACCACGGCAAGGGCCTCAGTTCTTCTTCAAGAAGCCAAAGAACTGCTCCAGGAAGCGTTCCTCGGAGCATGCCCCCGGCTCGGCAACATCTCTTGGGGCTCTGAGGCAGGGTTCCGGGGTTAGGGGCAGGGAAATGATCAATGACGTCAGCTAATGTAGGGGCCGGAATAATTAGAATGATTAGGGCTTGCGGGTATATCATAGTATAGTTGTAATAAGGAACCCTAAGAATAGTATTGACAATTATTTAGGCTTCTATATTACATTTCACATGACGTAGCCATGCTCGCCCATTGCCCGCAACAAGAACTTTAGCAGGTCTGGCTGGTAATATAGGGAAGGTTCCGTTAATTAAAGGGTGTCATAAGGGTTAATATACTAGTATAAGGGTACTCTGATATATAGGGGCCTTGATAATCAGAATAGGGTGGACACCACTATACCTATAGTTGTATAATGGGAACCCCTAAGAGTAGTATTGGTGATAATTGTTTTGGCCCCTATAGTACTGTGCGTTCGCGAATCAGGTCCCGTGGGCCACTTCCTCCATGATATCGGTAGGGTCTACAAACGGACCTCCCCGTTGAACTTGAAAGCAGCCGCCAAGCCCAAGGTCCGTCCATGAAAAAAGCCAGCCCTAATCTTTTGACACCCGGTACCCTGCAAGTGCTTGGATTCCAGGAAATAATTGATTCGTGAGTTTGAGTGTGAGGTTGAGTGTGAGCGAAAGTGTGAGCATGAATTTCCAGCCCATCGGGAAGTGTGAGGTTGAGTGTGAGCGAAAGTGTGAGCATGAATGGGCCACTCCACTCCGGATCTCCCTCTCACACTTCCGCTCACACTCCCGCTCACACATTCTTACTGTAAAACACAACAAAAAGTGTGAGTGGCAGTGTGAGCGGCAGCGTGAGCATGAATGAGACACTCACACCCCGAATACCGCTCACACTCCCTCTCACAGTCCCGCTCACACTTCCGCTCACACTTCCGCTCACACTCCCGCTCAAGTGTGAGCGGAAGTGTGAGCGGAAGCGTGAGCATGAATGAGCCACTCACACCCCGGATCCCGCTCACACTCCCTCTCACACTCCCGCTCACACTTCCGCTCACACTTCCGCTCACACTTCCGCTCCCACTCTCGCTCACACTCCCGCTAACACATTTTTGCTGTAAAACACAGCAAAAACTGTGAGCGGGAGTGTGAGCGGAAGTGTGAGCGGGAGTGCGCGCTTTTCCGCTCACACTCTCGCTCACACAAAACCTCACACAAATGATGTTTTCAGACCATCCCAAGGGTTGCAGGGACTGGGTCTCATATCCCTAATCTCTCAGCGATTTGTTACCTGAGGACAGTAGTCCAAAAACCCAAAATGTCCGCAAAAGGCCTTATACTGCAGACCGTAGACCCTCTCTCTCTCTAACCCCAAACCTGAAAACTGAAACTCGAGACGTGGGTCGATGTTGATGTGCCCCTCAGGGGTAACTTCGGCGGAAACCAGCCACTCGTCAACCTCCCAGGCTTGGAACACCGGAGGTTTAGAGTTCGGGGCTGTGGGCTTAGTTGAGAGGGTTGGGGTTCGGGGCTTAGGGTGTGGAGGGTATGGGGATTTGGGGCTTAGGACCGAGGGCTTAGACGGATTAGGGCGTAGAGACGAGAGAGTGCGAAAGCTTAAGAGATAAAGAGACCGTCGGGAAGAGAAAGACAGAGAGAGAAAGAAATGAAGACATCAGCCAGGGCAACAGAAACAGAGGGAGCGAGAGAGAGAGAGAGAGAGAGAGAGTCAGCGACACGTTTGTAATATGCAATATATATATATATATATATATATACATACATATACATATACATATACATATACATATACATAAACATATGCACACACACATAGAGAGAGTATGTAACAGCACATGTCCGTTGAATGATCATGAATTGCACTCCTGCCGCTGTAACATCTTACACCGGGGAGTGTGCATGCATGCATGCATGCATACATAAACATAATCGCACAACCAGGCACAACCCAAAAGCATCAGCACACACCACAGTATGGGATGCGAGACAACCTATCGCAGCATCGATATATATATATATATATATATATATATCCCCCTCTATCTCTCTCTCTCTCTCTCTCTCTCCGTCTCTCTCTCTCTCTCTCTCTCTCTCTCTCTATGTATGTGTGAAACAAGTGATACATACATTTGTGTGCATGGAGATACATATGAGCACGGATAACATTATATGTTTGTCTATTTAAATGTATGTATATATCGAGTCAGAACCTGGCCTTTTCTTGTTCCAGCTGGCCTTTCAGTTCTCCCGGAATAGGCCCCAAACCCATTTGGTTCAGATTCTGGCCTCAGGGTCTAGGGCATAGTGCTGATGTTTGACGGGCCTGAATAAGAAACATCGGGCTTGCGAGGTATATACTATGTCTATACGAGGAACCTCGAGGACAGGACCAGCAGTGGCAATTCGGCAGGCTGGTATGGCAGAAGCTGCCAGGATAGGCAAACCCAGACTGGCTTGGGCCTAGGGCAATACCGAAAATTGGGGTACCCTATTTCTGGGGTCCTCATACGGGTCCTACTATTTAGGGTACCATAGTAGGGCCCCCTCTTGATAGAAACTCCCATATCCCAGACCTGCAAAAATTCCCAAGCCAAGAGTCATGTTTTCAAAGCGACCTAAAGCCCTGAGCAAGGTAAGCTGAAATACCAGGAACTAGAAGTTACCAGTAAGCTTTGTGCAAGCACCCAATACAACCGGCACTTTGTTTCCATTGAAGCCCTGAGCTCGACAATCCCCACATTCCCAAAGTCCTTAAGCCCGAACCTGTATGCAACTAAAGCAAAACCTTTGACAGATCCGGTAATAAAGAACCCGAAGAGAACATGGAACCAAGGCTTCTTCAGAAATTGACTTGCAGCCTCTTCAGAGGTTAAGACATCCCCCATCCGTGTGAGCACATGCTTCAGCTCCTGTCAGGTTGGGATTCAGGGGTTAGGTTATGATACGGCCCCAAAAAAGCACATAAGCAAAAATTAGGATAGTGATATCCCATATAAACCCCCTTAAAAGGAAGCCCAATAAGGTAGGGATGTCCCAGTAAAATGCTTATGCTTATGTGCTTTTTGGGTCCCTGATATGAGGGGTTCAGGTGGTTTCAGCACTCACTCTCGGACGTACCACAGCGAGGATTCCAGTCTCAACGACAGCACGTTGGCAGCTTCATCCCAGCACATTAGCCGAGGACACACATTAACTAGCCTACCTTTCTCAAGCTACACATCAAACCATCAGACTTCTTCAAGACCACAGGCTGGGCCTTTCAATGATTCAAGGGGTTTAGGGCTTTTGGGGTTGGGGCTTGAGTATGTTAGGGTTTGGAGTGTATCATTTACAGGGATCCAATGCTCAGGGCTCTAGGGGCAGCTAGAGACGCAAATTTCAAGGATTTCTTCAGGACTGGGGTTAAGGGTCTATACAGGGGCTCATCAAGGGATATAGCAAGACGGAAAGTAGTTCTTTTGTTTGTCGGACTTTGTCGTAATCCGCAGCAACGGTATAAGCCTGTACCTATAGTAACCTTTGTAGTACCTTTATATACTCAAGCCTGCATAGCACGTACAGTAGAGTATCGTTACCGTGGGTGGCAAGCACATGACATTTATCCCTGTGCTATCAGGTGAAGACGTGAATGACCGCTCACAAACGCGAAATCGGTGCACTTGCGATGGTTACCAATCAAGACATGGGGCTGATAGCGGAAGATTATATCCAAAGCTGAGTTACGGCAGACCGCTGAGTTACGGCAGACCGCTTGCAGGTTACACTCGAAATCTGACTAAATCCTGAACCTTTTTGGCTACTGGACTCAAGTCTAGCCATAAACCCTATATAAATCCCAAACCCTAAACCCTCAACCCTATAAATCTAAATCCGAAACCCTACACTTTACACCCTGAACTTTAAACCCTAAGCCCAAAGCCCTCCGGAGGATCCTTCACGCTGACGTGGCCGTCCCCTTGTCTGTCGAAGACCTTGAGCGCGTCCTTGGCTGGGAAGGGGTCAGGACCTGCTGTAGGGTCTGTATAGGGACCCAGCACACAGAAGCACACCAGCCAATTGAAGGCACCAGGATGCTGTGAGTTACTGTAGACCTTCTGAATTATAGGTTCAGATGGATCCATAACTGAGTAGCTTAGACCTCCTGAATTCAAGCTTCAGATGCGTTGCAGAACAGCTTGACGATCGCAACATGGTGCAGAAAAAACCAGCTTAGCAACCTCGGGCCTGCACCGCAGCAGCAGCTGCCAAGGGACGCTCAATTCTTCGTAAGGATCTCTGCCGACCATCTTGCTCATGAGGTTGAGGAACTCCTTCATTCCATGCTTCGTGCGGGTTGAGAGGCTCCTATGGATGGAGCCTGGCTCCCCCAGAAGCCTCTTCCTAACCGTTCTGCCCTTTTTGTCAGCAACAGAGCGGTTCCGAAAAAAACATTTGTAGGAGGATGCTACTGCGCATTTGGGTGCCTGTGCTTGGGGTTGGAACCCGGTGTTGGGCAATCTCAAGACTCAAGACAAAAGACACATCTGATTGCCAACCGGCCTGCCGGCAGTCCAAGCAGAAGCCTGTGCTGCCTATGCCAGAGTACTAAAAGGCCACTCCCGAATCCTGAATGGTTTCAACGTGCCGTGGTCTGCTTTGGTATTTATGCTGCTCAAACCGTGGCACGTCGCAAATCCAGAGCCCCGTCCTGGAAGTCGAGCTCACCTGGGCGAGTGCGTAGGTCTTGTGAGGTTTCGGCTCTTGGACAGGCTAAGGAAAGTTGCATAGATACAAACAGGTCAGACCAGCACACTCAAATCTATACTTCGCATCTTACTTGCTTTGGCTTAGACCGGCTCCGGTGTGGCTCTAGGGCTGTGGGTACATCAGTCTATCCATCGCTTCTGGGGGGGGGAGGGTTGTTCGATCGCAGAGTCTCTCGCATGCTCTTGGAGTCGAGGTGTCGATGTGCATGTGCAAACCCTGCATCGTGGACTGCGAAACTCTGAAAAAGACAACTATGTGTTTGTTATGTTACATAATAGCGTATTGCACTATACCGTATTGTGATAATATTGAGATTTTACCCCTTTCGCCCTGAACGCCAACATGAACTCAGATCCACCTGCAGAGCTCTCTGACGTGGTCTTCGTGGGATCAGGGTGGTGCGTGATGCTGCATCTCGAGCTGCAGCTCGATTAACTACCCTTTGCAGCATGGGTCGATTAACTACCCTGAACCTTAAACGTTTAGGTTTTAGGGCCTCAGCTCTGAATAACACCCATGGTAAGCAGCACGTAAGCTTCACATCCAAGGGCTTTGAGTTGCATACAACAGTCCACACCGTTCCTAAAACATCCGCATCCACACCCCAGGTAGACCTGTTGAATTCCTCGTGGAAATTTCACTTATGCTCCCTGTAGTGCCCTCAGTCTTGCAGCAGCCGATTTGCCGTTTCCGTCCTCGCGAGAGGACGGAGGCCATCGGGGGAGAAGACAAATAGGATTTCAGTGTGTCAGTTTCGTTTTGTTTTAGCTTATTCCTCGCAAGGTCGAGTGTTGGAAGATCTGAGGTCTCTAGCCTTATTAGGGATTGAAGGATACAAATCAAGTCACTCAGTTCAGGGCGTGGGTGGTCGATCTGGGTCGAAGCTCCTGCTTTTGTTCGTTTTTGGGGTGTACATGGGCGTGTCCGAGAAAATGGGGGATCCTAATATGACACCCTAAATAGTAGGATCCTTGTTATAAGGACCCCCAGAATAAGGTACCCTCAATTTTCGAAAACTTCTCTGCTGAACTTATCCCCAAGAGCACTCGGGCACACAAAGAGATGTGATGACTGCTGCGCAGGTACATGCCTGGCTCACTGTGTTTGCTTGATCGAGGACTGTCCTTTTATAGTCGTGTGCTGGAACTTGTTGAAGTTAGGTGTCCTTACCCATGTATAGGTATATATAAAACAATTGCACGGTTGCCGTGTGTATATATAGATATTCACATGTATATAGATATAGATGTACATATTTACATACATACATATGTACATACACAGGTAGATATAGATACAGATATGCACAGGTTCCATATGTTCCTATGACCAGAATCGTCGAGTGGCGGCGATGAGAATGCACATGCCGCCCCTCACCCTAAGCCACAGTATCGAATCCCTGCCCGGCACTGTCACCTTAGGGTGGCACATCGAAGACCATGGGGCTACGGTTGAGGCTTTAGGGGCCTCTGATTCAACAACAGCAGGGTATTTTACAGCATAGTGTTATTGAGCATCCTCTGCTATAGAAGCTTGTATTGTACTAGTGTATGATGACATGGTGATTATACACTGATTCAACAATCAACGTATCTTCGAACGTGGCCTTGTCCACATCATTGATCCACTGCCATAGCTCCTCATCACTGGGGCAGGCACCTGTGCAAAGCAACCCGACGTCTCAAAACATACGTCAGGAATCCTCCTAAACCCTAAACCCTAATTAAGCCCTAAACCCTGAATCCGAAGGCACAAGTTCAACACTAAACCTTCAACCCCGGTAGAACCTGTGACATACACCAATAATTGCTGGTGCGCGGGTTCGGGACTATGGGCTGCGCTGTCGTGGCTCCGCGCACGTCTTCTTTCTGAGTCAGATGTAAAAGCAGGTTCGGTATTTAGGGTCTAGAGATGTCTAGAGTTCAGTTTTTGACTCCAGGTAGTACTTTTCAGCATGCGGGCTACGACTGCTTCGATGTCATCAGCACAGCCTAGGGCGAATGCATAGCTTGTGAGGCAAGACTCAGGTTCCTACGACCAGAAAGCCATCCCAAACCATATTACCCAAGACGATACCCCATATGGAGATTCGGAAAATAGGGGGCCCAAATAAAGTACCCTAATTAGTAGGAAATCCTTATTATACGGATCCCGAACTAACGTACCCCCTTATTTTCGGAAACTCGCATATTAGGACCACCAACTCCAAGCTCTAAACAAACTCGCAACCCTAAGCCCCAAGCCTGTCCACAACGACCGAATCTTCCGGTATACAAAGGTGAGACCAACACACACACACACAACTGAAAACCTAAACCACTAACCTCGAAACCCCTAACCCCGAAAACCCCCAAGCCTAAACTCCTAGCACCGAAATCTCTAATCCCTAAACCCTAACCACCCTGACAAAAAGGAATGAAAGAAGGGGCCGAGAAGCCCCTAAATCAATCCTAAACCCGAAACCCTGCGAACAAACAAGAGTGAAAGAAGGCGGCCGAGAAGCCGAGGGCTCTCATCGCTGTACCCAACTCTGAAGTCGAGATCGAACCGCCTCCGTCGATATCCTCAAAAGTTTAGGGTTCAGGTTTTAGGGTTTCGGTCAGAGTTTTGTGTTTTAGGGTTTTACTGTTTAGGGTTTAGGGTTTCAAGTGTATAAACACGGTTTGTGGTGTAAGGGGGCCGTTAAGGCTTCCTGTTGCGAGGGGTGTGCGGGTTAGGGTTCAAGGCTTCAGCGTTACAGGGGTCCTTTGAGGCTCTTTGTAAGGGTTACCCTAAACCCTAAACCCTAAACCCTAAACCCTAAACCCTAAACCCTAAACCCTAAACCCTAAACCGGGTTCCGACAAAGGTTGCTTTCAGGATGAATTATTGGGGGAGTCGAGGGCTTCTGGCTTGGATTGATGGTTTAGGGGTCTTAGGGGCTAGGACTTTTAGTAGAAGCCCAAAAGTTCGAAACCCAACAGCTTCAATCCTTAAGGGTAATGTGAATGGAATCCTAGCACAGATTGTCCTATAATCCGGTTTCCAACGTTTTAGGGTTTACTCTTGGGTTGTTGAGGGCTACTTGGGGTTTGGGAGGGCTTTAGAGCAGGCGGGTACGGCTTTCGGGTGTTCCGAGTGTAGTGTTTACCCTACGCCCAAACCTGTTCCGATTAACCCCTACGAGTAAACCCTCAGCCGTGACCCCTTTCATGCTGTAAGGTCTTTATTGGGCCGAGATTCTCGAGCTTTCTGAGATGTCCGTGCCCAACACGGTACGTATGGTTTCACTGCATCAACTTGATGAGTTCTGCATCTTGGACTTTGGGCGGAGACATCTGCAAGGACCTGGTGCAGCTAGGACGAACCTACGATGCGGGGTCTGTTGCTTGCTCACATAATCTATACAATGTCTGAGGCCTAGTTGCTGAGTTCATAAAAACCCCAAAGTGCACACTAAAGGGGGTAATATTATCCCACAAAGTGGGAAGTGTATCCACTCAATGCGGACAGCAGGTCGACTTCAGCCGGACTTCGGGGTCAGAGCTCGGCGCAAGGTTTTGTTGGGCTGATTTGGTGCACAGTGCCCAACGTCCCCCTGCCTGCCGATTTCTGTCTGCCGTTACGGCCAGGGCTTCAAGCCCACATCCGTGCATGATTGCATACATCAAGACGGGAAGACTTCTGCATGGGTGCCTTCGATAAAGAAGCTGTGTTGACGTCCTTCTCCTTTCTCTGCTGCTGCAAAAGGGTGCATGCCTCGTCAATGATCCATTTGTTAGCTGGTCGATCTTTTTCTCCGGCTGCTGGATCCTCTCCTTTGCTACCCGGGGTTGCGTCTTTGGCGGAGCTGCCTCCATGCTTCCTGCCGGACTTTGCGCTGCACTTGCAAGTCTCGGACAGACGCCTGTTTAACCCAGGGTGAAGTTGATGGTTATGGAATCTCATGTGGCCTTCCTGGGGCTCATTCTTACGGAAACAAACGTAAACTTTGACACCCTTGTACTTGCTATTCCGTTCATGTCTCTGCAGACCCAGTTGGCCAAGACGGTTACCAAAATCAAATCATCGCGACGACAGCACCGTGCCCATGACAGCGTCTTGCGCTGCCATTGTACCTCAAACTCTAATTTGATGATTAATCTTGGCTGACTTCTGAACCCCTCCTAAAAGTTAAACTTTTAGCCTCCTTATTAATTGGTTTTTGTCACCCACCTCCTTATTATAGTTCATATAAAAACCCGAAAGTTAAAGTCTAAAGAGCCAACCAGAAGAACGCCAAGTAATCTCTACAGTACATGAACCCGGGCTTTTGACCTTGCAGGTGCAATGGTAGGGCGAAGATATCGTTTTGGGCTGAGGACGTGCAGTTGGCGTACTTCTGAAGCCTGCAACTGTCTCGCAGAGAACAGCTTTCGAAACAAGCTGCCCGAAGTACACCTATAGGACCTGGACAAGTAAGATCGTGAGCTACCACTACTCTTTTAATACCCTTTTTGCATCCGGGCTGGGGAAGCCTAAACCCTAAAACCCCAAACCCTAACGCCCTCAGAGGGGGGAGACCCGGCAGAGTCCCAAGTCCAGATTGACAGCAAAGAGGCGTAGTCATCGAACGCCACCTTGTACCTAGGCTTCTAGGGGGAGTTAGAAGCCTTTTTGGTTAGGGGTTCAGGGTTTCGGGTTGAGGGTTCAAGGTTAAGGCTTAGAAGACCCACAGCGTGAGCTCAAAGACCTGAACCTGCACCGTACCCAAGCCCTCCGGTTCCGCATATTTGGGGCCATGGGCCATGTACCACATATTTGGGGCCATGGCCAAAAAACCCCTGGTTCCAGGAACCGGTTCCTAGCCCCCCCGGGCGTGGGTGATTTTGAGGGGTTAAATTTCTGAGAGTGCAAGAGACGCCCATGACATCCTAATTTTGTCACCATGCGACGACGTTTCGACATGGGACAACGCTTAGCCTGCATCGCGTTAGGGGTAGAAGAGCCTGCCGGGCGATTGTTCTGATTTCTGGTGGGACGCCCCCACGTTTCGTGAAGCGGAAGACTACAGAGTCGAATTTATCTGTTTAGTTTAGACTCGATATTTGGGGACTTCAACGGTTTTGTGGTTCGTTTGGATCGAGGAAGGGGTCACCCGAGATCGTTGTTGATTTGATTTGCGTAACCTTCGGGTGCGAGGTGCGAGCCGTACCCGACAGGCCCATGGTAATGAACCTTGTTGAACGTGGTAATTATCTACAACATGTGTCCCAAGTTGGGACTGGTGCAGAAAGAATGTACCGATATGCACGTGCATGCATGCATTCAAGCATGCATGGTGGATGCATGCATGTATGTAATCATGTGTATGCATGTCTGCATCTCTGTCTGTCCTTCTGTCTGTCTGTCCGCCTGCCTGTTTGTCTCTGTCTCCGTCTCTGTCTCTCTGCATGGGCTTTTGGCTCCCGCATGGCGCGTCCGGCATGGTTGTACGTACGTATGTCTCTATGCATACATATGTATGTGTTTGTGTAGGTAAGCATGTATGTACATGCATGTGTAAATATGCACATGCACATGCGAGTGCATGTATCTGATAGCAAGTCCATGTATGCATAACTATGTACGTATATGTATGTGTGCATAAACAAACAAAACTTAGAGAAAAACAGCGAAAGTCCGTGACCCTGCTTGTGTCAGTCTATACGTTCTGTGTGGAAATCGGGCTCGGGTGGGGAGGGCTGTAGGTTAGCTGCTGGATGAGCCTTGGCCTGTTGAGTTTCGCTGTGCTGAAAAGTATGGGTGCATACAGAGCTTGCATCTATCTCAAGGCTGTACATGCACAGATTGACATACCTTGATACACAAAACATACTTGGAAAAGAAAGCCATCTGTGTTTTTAGCTTGTGACAACATCTACCCTAGCAGCAGTTTCGCATTATCTCGAACAGCATTGCGTATACCGGCCTGGATTTTGTCAAGAAAGTCGCGGCCGTGGTAACAGCACCAGTAGCCATCAACACTGTATGGATGTAAGACTTCTGAAGCCCTATTTTATACCAAGCTATTCCCTTGACCTTGACTTGACCCCCCACTCTAGACCCTAAACCGGCTTCTTGCCGCATACACGGCGCTTACTTCTGATGCTGCATTGTAACAGGCATCTTTGCATCACAGAAGACCTTCCACGTTCCTTGTGTTTGAAGTCATCGTTTTGGTAGGAGTACTAGTATTGGTACAAGCATTCAGAAATAGAAACAGTAGTGGGGGCAGGAGGAAGAAGTAGCAGTAGTAGTAGTAGTAGTAGCAGTAGTAGTAGTAGTAGTAGTAGTAGTAGTAGTAGTAGTAGTAGTGCTAGGAGTAGTGCTAGTAGCAGTAATAATAGTAGTAGTAGTAGTAGTAGTAGGAGGAGTCGTACGAGTCGTAGGAGTAGTAGGAGTAGTAGGAGTAGGAGTAGGAGTAGGAGTAGGAGTAGGAGTAGGAGTAGGAGTAGGAGTAGGAGTAGGAGTAGGAGTAGGAGTAGTAGTAGTAGTAGTAGTAGTAGTAGTAGGAGTAGGAGTAGGAGTAGGAGTAGGAGTAGGAGTAGGAGTAGGAGTAGGAGTAGGAGTAGTAGTAGGAGGAGGAGGAGCAGTAGCAGTAGCAGTATGCAGTAGCAGTAAGCAGTAGCAATCACCAGCAGCAGCAGTAGTAGCGGCAGTGTTAGTGTGTTTCGTGGCAAGAGTGTAAGGTTACGAGTAGGGCCAGGGGTAGGGGCACGTTGGGGAAGTGTCCGAGTGCGGGTAGGGTAGTCGTAGGGGCAGAGAAGAAGAAGAAGCAGGAGAAGAAGTTGCAGAGGAAGCAGAAACAAGAGAAGAAGTATAGTAGTAGTCGTGTAGTGGTAAGTGGTAGCGGTAAGTAGAAATGCCAACAGCAGTAGCAGCAGCAGTCGCAGCAGCACTGGCAGTGGGAGTAGCAGTAGCTGAAGCAGTCGCAGTAGCAATAGTAGTAGCAGCACCCAAAATAGCAGCGATGGTAAGCAGTTGTTGTTGCTGATGTTCTTGTTGTGGTTGCTGTTGCAGTCGTAGTAGTTGCATTAGGACTAGGCAACAACAGAAGTAGGTAGGTAGGTGGGTGGGTGGTTGAGTGGTAGTAGTAGTAGTAGTAGTAGCAGTAGTAGTAGTAGTAGTAGTCGTAGTAGTAACAGTAAGAGTAGGAGTAGGAGTAGCAGCAGGAGTAGAAGTAGGAGCAAGAGAGGGGGAAGGTAGTCGTAGTAGCAGTAGCAGTAGTAGTAGGAGGAGATAGGAGGAGTATAGTAGGAGGAGTAGTGGCAGTAGTAGTGCTACTACGACGACGACGACTACTACTACTACTACTCAGTCGTCGTTGTGGGAAAAGAAGAAGAAAGAATACCTGTAGAGGCAGTAGCAGTTGAATAAACTCAGCATTTGCAACCGCAGTGGCACGCCCCATTCAAGTCGCAAGCGCGACCCTTAGTCGCCATTGTTTCTTCATTCATGTCAAAAGCCTGAAATCCACGTCATGATCAGGTTAGATTGTAAACATGTCAGTTTTCAGGTTTGGTCGGAGCGAGATTCAAATGCATGCAGTGCAAGTACTGAGCGCTTCATTTCGAGAGGCAACCTGAAAAGACTAAAGCAGTGAATCTTCAAGCACGTTTTCCCCCGGCAGGCCCACAAAATCAAAGGCACGATCATCCAGTCCCCCGCACTTTCCTGACCCTGCCCTCGTGCCCTGGAGCCCGAACGCATAACTCTCGTGGGAGAAGCCGAAATTTCACGGTGAAATCCGCCTTGGAACCGTGAAATACGAGCCGGAACCGTGAAATACGAGCCGGAACCGTGAAATACGAGCCGGAACCGTGAAATACCGCAGTGGGGCCCTCAGGAGCAAAAATATTAGCCGGTGCAAACTCCCAACACGTAGGATTTCAGTAGAAGCCGAAGCTTTTGGATGCCACGATTGCCGAAGGGATGTAGAAACGGACCGGGAACATCATGCATGTTCAACTGTTTTAGGCTGCTAACCCCCCAAATGCTGATGCAACCCCACAGAACTTGCTTAATCGTCCCAGACGACCGCGACATCCAAAGAACCTCCGGCACGCCTGAGAATCATCCCCCCATAACACAAACTAAGTGGCAAATACGATGCGTGTTTTTCTCCAAACCACCGAAAATCGTTCCTTTCTTTCCGACTCCTGCGATGTTTACATGTTTGCTCAGTCATGTCGTGATCTTGGATTCTGCTCAATAATTGGGAGAGAATTTCAACCAGTTCCGTACTGGACAAATGCACAATACCTTGTAGGTTCATGGTGCAAACATGTTTTCGACACAAGTAATACATGGACTGAGCACAAGAGCTGGTGTGCGTTGCAATAAACGCCGATGGTATCCTTCTTATTACACTCTGTTTTTTAAAAAAATGCAGGGAAACTCGTCGCCGTCGTTGTCCTCCATGTTGTAGTAGCAGTACTAGTACTAGGACTGGTTTCAGTACTAACTAATGAGAATAGCAACAAAAGAAATAAGATATCTCTCTCTCCCTCTCTCTCTCTCTCTCTCTATATATACAATACACATGTAATTTCAACATATGCAGACATAATGCGACGACGACGACGTCAACTACGGCTATCACTGCTGCGACAATCACTGCAGCGACGATCCTACTGCTACTGCTACTTGCTACCGCTGCTGCTACCTCTACCCCTACTTATACTCCTACTCCTGCTCCTCCTCCTACTGGTTCTACTACTCCGCGCTCGATACGCCACTTCCTTTACGACTGCGGCTACGAGGACGAGTTTGCCTTCGCTCACTTCTGCTTGTGCGAGTGTGACTGCGACTATATGACGACGACTACCACCACGGCAAAGAAGCAACTACAGCTACTGCCACTGCTACTGCTGCTGCTGCTGCTGCCACTGCCTACTACTACCACTGCACTACCATTACCAGTACCACTACCGCTACCGCTAGTGCTGCCACGACCGCTACCGCTGCGGCTACTGCCGCGCCTACTGCTACTGCTGCTGCTACTGCTACTAGTACTAGTACTAGTTCTAGTACTAGTACTAGTACTAGTACTAGTACTACTACTACTACTACTACTACTACTACTACTACTACTACTACTACTACTACTACTACTCCTGCTGCTGCTGCTGCTGCTGCTGCTACTGCTACTCCTGCTGCTACTGCTGCTATTGTTGCTACTGCCACTGGTATGGCACTGTTGCTACCGTTGCTACTGCTGCTACTTTACTGCTACTGCTACCACTACCACGGGAACGACGAGGACTTCTACTAGTACTACACCTGCTAGTATTACTATACTCCTGCTACTACTACTACTACTACTACTACTACTTCTGCTACTGCTACTGCTACTGCTTCTGCTTCTGCTACTGCTACTTCTGCCGCTACTGCTACTGCTACTGCTACTGCTTCTGCTACTGCTACTTCTGCCGCTGCTGCTAGTGCTACTGCTACTGCTATTGTTATTACTACCACTACTACTACTACTACTACTACTACTACTACTACTACTACTACTACTACTACTACTACTACTACTACTACTACTACTACTACTACTACTACTACTACTACTACTACTACTACTACTACTACTACTACTACTACTACTACTACTACTACTACTACTACTGCTACGACTACAACAACTACTACTACTACTACTACTACTACTACTACTACTACTACTACGACTCCTGCTCCTGCTCCTGCTCCTGCTCCTACTGCTGCTGCTGCTGCTACTGCTTCTGCTACTGCTACTGCTACTGCTACTACTGCTGCTACAACTGCTACTGCTGCTACAACTGCTACTGCACCTACTGCAGCTACTTCAGCTACTGCTACTGCTACTGCTGCTACCGCTGCTGCTACTGCTGCTGTTGCTAGTACTGCTGCTGATGCTGCTACAGCTACGACTGCTACTATTCCTACTCCTACGTCTACTGCTACTACGATGACGACTACTACTCCTCCTGCTGCTGCTACTAGTGTACCACTACTGCTATTTCTATTATCATTAAACACTCATGGAAAATTTATCGTCATTCAGGCGGGTTGTTCAAAAAGATGCGAAACTGCAACGAATGGAAGCCTCTAAAATTCCCATACGAGCTTCAAACATTATTCGCAACCTTAGACCCGTCACCTGTCCAAGCTTGGTACAACGGAATAACTCATAAACGCTTGCAGTCAATATGATTTTCTACGCCCTACGCAGCTGGTGCAGTTTGGGCCTTCCTGTCTGGCGATGCTTCGGGTTATATTTTATTCGACATTCTGGGGTTTTCTATTAAATCCAGTTGTCGTCCTACCGTACCAAAGCCGAAACCGTACTCCCAAAACCCTAGCCCTAACTACCCTGAAGCAGAACTGTTAATCTCTGCAAATCAAATACTGAAACTGCAGCAATTGTCGAAGCGCTCGACGCAACAGATGCGGAGACCGATTCAAGAAAACAGAATGTTTGCACTTGTGAAGCTCAAATCCTTACACCTGACACGTGCGAACCCTAAATCCGCAGACCCTAAGCACTTTAACCTTAAAAGCGTTGTGCCTCGATGGCTCTTGCCTGACCTAAAGAGCTCAAATCAATGTGTGAACGGATCATGAAGTGTGTCGCGGTGCGCTTTGCAATGTTCGCTCACCCGGCGTGCTCAAGTTTGAACCTTGCCGCGTCCGGTTCGTTCTTGTTTCAACGATTGCGCTAAGCCTGAGATATGTCATCTTGCTTTCTGCACAACTTCCTGCACAAGCTTGGTTCCTAGAATTTTTCGGTTCCCAGAAAACCTGGTCCATAGGGTCATGGCCTTGATTTTCCGGGCCATGGGTATCGGTTCCTGCCCTGGTGGGGTCTTAGGAGGGCTTGGGGTAATTCCCAATTTCTAAACCGTCGATTGCGCACAAAACTGCGAAACCTTACACCCTGAAAGCCAAGCCTTGCAGAGCTGCAACCCTCGACCCTACCTGAACCCTCCTTCTTCCGGTTCCTGTTGTTCTTCTTCTTCTTCCTTTTCTTATTTCCGTATATTTGTCCTTAGAAAAGGACGGATGTTCGGGGTCAGGGTAAAGCCAGTGCCGAAGGTTCCTACCTACCTCCACAGTACAAACACAGGGTGTTCATGTGGATTGGTTTTAAGTTGTCTGGACTGCGTAGGTATGCCACAGGTTGAATACTTTACAGATACTGTTCCTTCGGGTTCCTCGTTTGAGTTATCTTATCAAATGCCCCCCCCCTCCCCCCCGCCCCTGAAACCCGATTGTAGCTATTACGGCCCCTACATTGCTTTTGATCATATACCCCCGCATAACCCTATTCTAGCCATTACGGTCCCTACATTACTTCTCTCTCTCCCTCTCTCTCTCTCTGCAGTTGTATCCAGAGGCCCTTGCACCTAGACTATGCATATCCAGGAACCGAGGCGCCAACTGTTCCAGAGACCCTACATCCTAAACCCTAAACCCTAAACCCTACATCCTACACCCTAAACCCTAAAACCCTAAACCCTAAAACCCTAAACCCCTCAACCCTAAGCCCTAAATTACTTGTGATCCCTTCTTGCGGATGCTGGCGGTCGGGGCACTCGGCGATCTGCTCCTCTGTGAAGTACTCGGCCATGGCGACCTCACAGTTCAAGTCGCTTTGGGCTTTGGGTTTACCATAGGGGCCTTAATGATTAGACTAGGGTTTTGGGGCCCCATAAAGTATAGTTGCGATTTAAGTCGCTTTGGGCCTTGGGTCTACTACAGGGGCCTTAGTGAATAGAAAGGGATTTTGGGGCCCAGTCTACTATAGTCATGATAAGGAAAATAGTATAGGTAAGTATTAAGGCCGCCCCTGTAGTAAGGTCTCTGTTGTCTGGGTTTAGAGGTAACCCTTTTCAGCATGGGATTGGATCGCTGGCGCCCCTAAACCCAAAACCCTAAATCCTGGGGTCTGGTGATCTATATATATATATATATATATATATATATATATATATATATAGTTCAAGTCTCAGGGATTGGGGTTTCGGGTTTTTGAGGCAGCAGGTTTTGGGGTTGCCAGGTTTTGGAGGTTCTCATCAACATCCATGTAAGAGGGGTATCCGCAGGCCGATGTGCGGTTTGCAAAGGTTTGAGTCGTCGCGGGCAGTTATGTCACCCGTGGAGTCAGCAGTACAGGTGTGTGTGTGTGTGTCTACATGTGTATATATATATATACAAATAATTATAAGTATATATACATATACACACATCATAGAGAGAGAGAGAGAAAGAGAAAGAGAGAGAGAGAGAGAGACAGAGAAAGAGATTCTAAACGCCCAAAGCCTGAAACCCTAACACACACCTGACCTCAAGTCGTTGACCCTGAATCTTGAACCGTTTCCCTCAAACCCTGACCCCTGAGCATTGGCCTATAAACATAACAGCCCAAACCTTACAAACCCGAAACTCCTCCCTGATCCGCGCCCCCACTGCAGAAACCATGCAGACATGCCTCTTCACGTCAGTCGCCCCCGGGGGCGCCGGGGAGTGCGAGGCGTCTAAGCCAGACCGGCAACAACGAGTTGCTACGACCAAGCTTTACCCTATGCCTCCAGGGACCTTATTATGGGGTCCTTAAGGGGTCTAGGGCCCTAACTATGAGGTCCTTGGAGGGCTGGGGTTAGGGTTTGGAGGGATTCAGGTACTTTTATGTTTACAGGCAGAACAGCCAGAATGCAGACGCATATTTTCTTGAGCCAATGAACGACGGTAGGTACGGTCGACTAGCTACATCTTCCACAAAATACACCCCCCGCGCATCTTAGTGCAACGGTGGAGGCGAAGGCGATGGAAGGAAAGACTAGTCGCTAGACCGTCGAAGAAGTATCACTTTGTGATAACGAAAACAACTCGAAAACAATAGTAAATTATGCGGCCTTTTCTCGCGCCCTTGCAGACTGTACGAACTGGACTGTTACCAGCCCGTTAGGGCGGTGCCGAAGCTTAAATCTCACTTCACAGCTAACCAGACGGCATCTAAACATCTCAGAATACCATCCCGTTAGGGAGGTGATCATGCTTGGCACTATGGGCCTCGCTCATGTGATCTCAGTAGATCCGGTCACGACGGTTGGTCCTGTAGTTGTATACCTCGTGGACCCAACCTGAGAGGAACCACTGGACATGTGATGTGTCCAGCATCGTGAAACCATGGGGATTCCCATGTGTCGGAATGACGTTGATCACCGACGTGGGCTGGATATACTCCTCGGTCATTGCCGCGAAGACCGCCCACTGATACATATCCACCCTGTGCCAATCCATGCGCCTGGCAAGTGCTGGGTCAATTACGTTGCCAGAGACGTCATTGCCGAGGACGAAGTTGGGATACAATAACCCGGCGACTCTTAGCTGGTCAAAGAAGTTGACAACGGTTTCGCGCATCCGGACCTCTCGGTCGGAGACATTCCTTGTCTCAAAGAAAACGCCGAAGGTCGGTGGATCATGAGGCCGACGACGGTAGTTCTCGGACCACTCGCGTCTGGTGCTGAGATCAACAGCTGACGATGGAGCCTCACTCACCGTATCATCATTGGCAGCCACAGGAGCAACCGTTTCCGGTGCTGGGTTCTGAAAGCCAGTTCCAGCACGCATGGCGTCCCAGTCTGCATCGCTGATGTAATCGGATGGATCGCGATTGACCCGCCTGGGTGGCGGCATGGCCGGCTCTCTTGGAATGCGATCGGTGGAGGAGCCTGCAGCATCACCAGGGTGCGTTCTGATGTGCACCTCAGTTGGGCGGTGCCTTGCAACCGGCGACCGTGTTCGATTGCGAACAGTCTGTTCTGTTGCACGCTCGTCAGAGCTGCGACCGCGCCTTGATGGTGAGGCAGGTGGCACCGGAGGGCGACGTTCGGACGCTGGGGCCGAAGTAGTCAAACGAACGTGACCGCTCTCTCCGATTCGCTTATCCATGTAGTACTGCTGGTACCGCCGATAGTATGGCGTGTTGGCCAAAAGTTCATTGAGTTGGCGTTTGCCTAGCCCTTGCGCCTCAGCGGGTACCTGCAGATCTCTCTGGGTGTGAAGACTAGGGTGAGCCTCCTCGATCCTTGTCCGGCTAAGGGGCAGCTGAGCCTGGAAGAAGGTCGCCAGCTCGGCCATGATCGGTAAGATCTCATTCTGCATGACAATGTACTTTTCCCCGTCATACTGCAGAATAGAGAACTCATGCTGGTTCGATTTCACAGCCTTGATGAGAACTGCAATCTCATTGATAGTGTAGAACCGATCGTGGAAGCAAATCAGACACTCCGTGAGGAGGTCGATCTCAAGCTGACCAGTCACCCAAAGAAGGGCGATCTTCCCAGTGGCATCGTAGTATGTGGATGATCCAAGTCCTTTGCCCTTTCCCAGGGGATTCGGGAGCCTCACGTTAGCGAAGCGTTGCAGCGCCTCGACGGTATGGAAGCTCAGACCCATTTTGGCATAGTTGTGGGCAGTAATAGGATCAACGCTGTATTGCCCCTGCGGAGTCGTGTTGTGGAGTTTCTCCGCCCGCTTCTGCTGATTGAGGACCTTTTGGCGAATGCCCGACGCTGTGCTCTGAATGCGCTCCCTCTCTTCTGGTCCCTGGGTCTTCACCCGTTGGCGATTAAGTCCACCAGATGGTTGCAAGTCGATAATGTTGACCTGCCTACCCTCTCGGGCGGCGTTACGCCTGATTCTGTCGGGCTCGGCGATGATCGCGAGATCGGTCATCTCTATGAGACGACGTTGGCAGCCTGGGCAGGAAATCATGCCCTCAATGTACTTGTGATTGCACTGGCTGCAATGGTATCCGGGGAAGAGAAGGAGTTCTTGCTTGATCCAGTGTTTTGGCTCGATCCTGGAACGGATCTTGATCCGCTTTCCTTCCATAGATGGCCACACATGGATACCAATCCCCAGCGATCCATCAAAGTTTCCAACGAGCTGGTCGTTGGTCTGTCTCCGCTCGATCACTTCTTCGCCCACTTCAGTAAGGGTGCTTGCAGAGACACGAAAAGGGGTTTTGCAGTTGACGGCAACTGGAGCCCACTCAGCAATGGTCAAGTTCTCCGCGCCGTCCAGCAGATCCAGGAAGCAATTGTGCTGTTCCATAGCAAACTGGTCCGGGCCGAAGATGTACTTGCGGCCTCCATCCTTGTTCCAGCACGTTAGTGCGGAGTCAATGTTGCGACGGAATGCCTGGTATGCGGGATTCACCCACACAGGCTCGGCCGTGCCACGCTGATAAGCGTAGATCAGGTAGCGATTGCTTACCCAATCAGGCGTCTCCAGTGCCCCGGAGCGAGTCTCGAATAGCCTGAGGCCATCCAAAGCAGCCATTTGGAGATCTATAGCGAACTCGACGTCCGCCGCCTCGCGCAGGCCTGCGTTATCATCTCTTTTCCATTCTGGAAGCTTTGACATCATGACGAAAGCTCTGCTACCACTCTCGTGGAGCGCGGCACCACCTGGCAACAACCCGAACCTGATAATGTCTGGGAAGTGCCGCATGAAGGTACCATGGTAGCCCAGTTTACATGGGAAATCGACGAACTCCTGAGAGTACATGTCGAAAGGATGGATAGCAGGCCGAGTCGTTAGCCTCGCGTCCCATGGCACAAAAGAATATACCACGGAGTGGATGTCGGCAAGCTCGGTCTCGCCACTGAAAAGCCCCGACCAATGCCCATGGATCGCTCGAGCTCGAAGCACGTCAAATTCCTGATTGTTGTGCTTTTGGATGTAGAGCTCGTAGCGGGCTTTCCCATCGACTGGAGTCTTAAAGACTTCGAAGATCTGGGAGATCTTAAGTCCATTCCAGATCTGGCTGAGAGCATCGATGAACTCTTCCCAGTCAATGGATAGGTCGTTCCGGCGGATGGTCACCGTCGGTTTGCGGTCCCCGTACTCCGGCTTGTTGGTAAAGCCTCTGAGGATGAAAGCACACTTTTTGCCAAGTGCGAAACGCTTGCCTTCGCTGAGATGGCGATGGTCGGAAGTAAAGGGTGGTAGATCCAAACCTGACAACCAAAATTGACCATCCCTTCCGGGAGGTGAAGCTTCTGCCTTTGCACTGGCAGCAGGTGCCGCCTTAGGCGTTGGGGCCGACTTCACTGCGGTAATTGGCATCTTCTTTGGTGGCGGTGGCTGCAACGGCTCAGAGGGCCTGGCTCCAGATGCAGCAGATTTCCCACGGACTTCCTTGGGTGGAAGCGTGCCTGAAGCCGACGATGAGGATGCACCCTGCGACACGGCAGGAGGCACGGCATGAGCCTTAGTGGCCAAGGGCATCATCCCTGTGGCTTTGGGCTCCGCGGCAGCGGGCCGTGACTTCGGAGGTACCGGCGGTTTGACGGCTTCCTCCAATTGCATTTCCCTCATCAGGTTCTGGATGCCGACGGATCCCCTCGCGTAAAAGCGAGGCCTCTTGCTGAGTTCCTCTTCGGTGAGCTCTTCACAATGCCCTTGAAGATTCTGTTGGAATCAGCATCCTCGTTAGAGGTGCGACCGATCTCCAAGTCCAGACCATAGACGCCGAGGGCGTTTGCCAAGGCAATCTCCTCGTCTGTGGCAGCCTCTTCTCCATGGCTGCCGATCTGGAGCTTGGTGATCATGACTGAA